CTCTCTCTCTCTCTCACACACACACACACACACACACACACACACACACACACACACACACACACACGTGCTTTAGAGCATGGGCTGTTTGGATGTTTACGAGTGGCCACGAGTTCTCTTTGTGGGGAATGTATGGTTTGCGGGCCGACGTGGAAGGCTTTCCCAGTTTTTTTGGGCCCTTAGCAGGGGGGGTCCGTGCGCTCTTGCTGGAGGAGTCTTCTGTCTTAGGTAAGTTGTCTCTTATCTTCTTCCTCCTCTTTGGCAGTGACGCAAGTGTGTGGTTTGAGATGAATGTCGGGAATGCCAATGCTGTTATATTTGTTCGTTTTTGGTTTTGTGGGCCGATGCGGAAGGCTCTCCAAGTTTTTTGGGACCTTTAAAAGGGGGCCGGGTCGGTGCCTTCTTGCTGGAGTAGACTTCCGTCTTAGGTAAGTTGCCTTCTGCCCTCCATCCCCTTATGGTTTGAAATGTTTGACGATATATTGTCACATTGTGATGTATACATATGCATATGTGCAAGTGTGCCGCTTTGGCGCCAGACGGGTGTGTGGGCACTCGGCGCTGAACCGCACAAACGTGGCCAACCTTGCATTTTCTATTATATTGCCTATCTAAACTTTTTTGTTATGGATGGCTTGTGATGAGTTGCAGAGGGAATGAGAGAGAGAATCTGAGGTCTTTTAAAACAACACACGTTTTTTTTTTTGTGAAAACCCAACGAAACAGTCCGGCAGGCTTTTTTTTTTTTTTTTTGTGAGAACAACCTGAGCTGATGCCACCATCTTCACCCGAATAGACAAACTACGGGCTGCGCACCCGTGCCCTCACGGTAAGTCAATATCTGATTGTGGGGTTGATGAGCAGGTGTTGTTGGGTGAAAAGAATTAGGGGTCCTGGCTTGTTTAATAAGTTGCGGAGAAGATGGAGGGGGATTATGAGTGAGGTTTAGTTGTGTTGTGTGCTAGTTTAAAAGCGGTGTGTTTCTTTTCTGTTTGCTGGTTATGGGTTCAGCTGCGTGCTGTGTGTTTTGACGGTCGTGGCGTGGGGGATGGCGGGTGGGGCACGTGGGGGGCATAGTGCTTTAGTGATTCATCTCGTCTTTGTCAAGATGTATTTATTGTTTCCATGTGGAGTGGTTGTCTGACTGTTGTTTGGTGCGATGAATGTGTGCGTGTATGTGTGTGTGCGTGTGTGTGTGTGTGTGTGTGTGTGTGTGTGTGTGTGTATGTTGGTCTTGGGTGTTCTATCTATATGTATTATGTGTTAATTGTGTGTTTCTGCAGGGGAAGGGGGAAAAAAGTGGAAGAAGGAGAAAGATCAGATAAGCTGACAAACATCGACGACGACCGCAGACCCAGCAGCAAATGAACCTTTCCGTGTGCTTCGCGCCTAACCCAGCAGGCTTGATTTTGTGCCTTCCATTTGATGGCATGTATTAGGGCCACCTTTTGTGATAATGTATATGCGATTATGAATGCATCGCGAAGAGTAGGTGGAAGACGAAGAAGAGCAGCTATGGCTATGGCCCCCTCCTCGTCTTGCTCCTCTTCTTCGTCTCCTTCTCCCTCCTCTTTTTCCTTTTTTAAGCCTTTCCGAATTTTCCGAATGTGCCTGCCCTGGTCAACGCTGACCTCAATTTTTATTCTAGCAGGATTAGTCCGACTTGTGATGATCGCATTCGGCGAATGGCAAGATGCACATCTAGTGGTGAAGTACACGGATATCGACTACATAGTCTTCTCAGATGCGTCCGCATTCGTCGCACGTGGTAAATCCCCTTACCTTAGGTACACTTACCGATATACCCCTCTTCTCGCATACATGTTATTGCCGAACATCTTCATCCACAAGTGCATCGGCAAATTGCTCTTTTCGGGTTTCGATCTCCTGGCCGGTTGGATCCTCCACTCCATTCTCACCTTAAGAGGGGTCCCGTCCCACCGCGCTGCTTATCTAATCGCCGCATGGTTGTTTAATCCCTTCACATTTACGGTCGCGACTAGAGGTAACTGCGATGCCATGGTCAGTGTGATGATGCTCTGGGTGTTGCTCTGTCTAATGCAAGGAAAACTCATCACTGCGGCAATCTGGTACGGCCTGGCTGTTCACGTCCGCATTTATCCGATTGTCTATGCCCTACCGTTCATTCTTGTGCTTGACGAAGATTACCCCTCCGTGGCCGCCAGACTGAAGAGCTGTCTGGCAAATATGCATGATCAGGATAAGGTCAATCATGATCAACAAGAAGATGATGCATCATTGAATAAACATCTTGATAAGGATCAGGTCGGAAAGCCGGCGGATGCAATCTCCACCACAGCAGCGACAGCAGCAGCAGCAGAGGACAAGGATAAGCTCAGAAGGCAGGTGGATGGAATCTTCACCACAGTAGCGCCAGCAGCAGCAGCACCAGCAGCAGAGGATAAGGATAAGGATAAGGATAAGGATAAGGATAAGGATAAGGCAGAGGATAAGGATAAGGATAAGGATCGGGCAGAGGATAAGGATAAGGATAAGGATGAGGTCGGAATGCAGGTGGATGGAATCTTCAACACAGCAGCAACAGCAGGAGAGGATAAGGTTAGAAAGGAGGTGGAGGTGGAGGGAATTTTGACCAGAGCAGCAGAGGTTGCTGTGAGGAAGGGTGGTGATGATTGCTCTTTATCGTGCGGCGGTAGCAGCAGAAAGAAGAAGAAGACGAAGACGAAGACGAAGAAGAAGAGTTTGAGCGACAACCGCGCTTCCATGTTTCTCAGATTTGTGAATCGGGAAAGGTTGCAGTTTGCGCTGGTATCAGGAGGAACCTTTCTACTTCTGACATTTGTGTTTTTTGCCATTTATGGCATGGATTTCCTATTTGATGCTCTTCTTTATCACCTAACTCGTAGCGATCCTCGACACAACTTTTCCATCCACTTTTACCAGTCGTATCTTCGCTTCGATCTCGCTCCATCTGTGGCGAACAGATTGCTTGCATTCGTTCCTCAGTTGCTTGTCCTGCTCGTTCTTGGAGCAGTTTTCGCAAAAGATTTGCCTTTTTGCATATTCCTACAAACGCTCGCCTTTGTGGCCTTCAACAAGGTCTGCACTGCCCAGTACTTTGTCTGGTACTTCTGTCTCCTTCCCCTGATCTTGCCGTCGACGACGATGCGACTTCGCTGGCAGGGTGTCCTTCTTGCAGCTATCTGGTGTTGTGCCCAGGTCCATTGGCTGGGATGGGCTTTCCTGCTAGAATTCAAGGGTATCAACGTCTTCGTACCACTGTGGATCGCTGGCGTTATCTTCTTCGCAGCCAATGTCTGGGTTATGCTCCAGCTGATTCGTCACCACAGGTTTTGTGCGTTGTTCCAAGGGGGCGCGATTCGTCAACTCGACAAAGAGGAGGAGACGGAAATGCACAGTAAGGTTCTCTGACGGAAAATGTTTAAAATAATAAAATTGCATTTTGGTTTTAATAAAGAAAGTGCTGCCTGTGGAAGAGGATGTTCCCTTGTTGTGGGTGGAGCGATCCATTGCCTTTTCGTTGTTTCATTTTGTGTTTCATTGTTCTATTTTGCTGCATTGTTTGCTTTCCTGTGCGTCCCCTCGCGCACATTTGCTTGTTTGAGCCTTCTGCTTCTACTTACATGAGCACGTTTATGCTTCCCAGTCATGACTCGTTTTGTTTCTAAAGGTTTCCGTAAGTGTTCTGATTGAAGAATGAAATAATAGCCACGAGTATTGTTGACAAATCGCTTTGTAGAGTGCAGACACGTCCGTACACACACACACACACACACACACACACACACACACACACGAACACACACGCACACACGCACACATGCAGGCACGCACGCACGCACACACGCACAGCGCACGTAGAGGCACGTGCATTTTGAAGTGCGAGCGTGGAGAGACGCATGCATTTGAATGTGATAGCGGTACTGGCGCTACTGCGGTACTGGTGTGGCCTTTCAAGTCTGGAAAGGGCTTCAAGTTCGGGGACGCTGGGCCGCTTCTCAGATGAACGCAGTAGGCTGCAAATCAGTGGTCCACTTGTTCAACACAGTAGGCTTCAACACACAGAGGGCATATACTCACACGAGGACATTTTCGACAGAGCTCTGGACGTAATTGCGATCGGATACATCCATGTCCGGCCGTAACTCGGCCAGATACATTTTAGATAGCTCAGCCGTCCAGTTGTTCCCACAAATCATACAGATTTTCCACCTTCAAAAAACAAAAACCGGATTTTGCGAGCACCTAACCATAAAAAAAAAAAAAAAAAAAAAAAAAAAANGTGCGTGCGCGCGCGAGCGCATGCGCGCATCCCACTGTTTACTTTCCTGTAACCGTCCTCCCTTCCCCGTCCCTGTCACTCTCTCACACGCAAGAGAGAGAGAGAGAGAGAGAGAGAGAGAGAGAGAGAGAGAGAGAGAGAGAGAGAGAGAGAGAGAGAGAGAGAGAGGGGAAGGGAAAGAGAGATTTCATTTTTCTGGCAATGGGAAACTTTCGCCCACTCGTATTTGCATGTGCGCAAGAGAGAGAGAGAGAGAGATTTGTGCGGTGAGAAGACTCTGCAGAGAGAACCTCCCACCCGCTTAACCCCCCAGGAAGGGAAGTCGCTCTTTTCCAGTTTGAGGGCCGATCCTGCATCCCCTCAGGGAGCACAGAATGGCCATGCCCTCCAAAAAAAGAGAAAATAAAAATTCAGGCCACCTTCTGCTCTGCCTTGGTTACCCAGGCGGGGACCCTAGGCCCTGTGCCAGACCAGGCACACCTGGCCAGACGGGAAAATACTAAAATAGCCTGTGTGACCCAGACCTATAGGTTTTACAAAGTTACACACATATAGCGGCATGGCCTGTGTGACCCAGACCTCTAGCTTTTTAACAGAATAGGAAATTGAAGAAACACCTCCACATACCCTCGTCTACCGCCTTCACGCGAATAGAGCGCCCCGGTCATTATGGCCGTATTTTGTGCACCTTTCAGTCTCGGTACAGCGAGTAGCAACTTTGCAAGATCATACAAGTTGACGGGGTGGTGTTTTGGCTGCACTGCCTGCACGGGAGGAGATAGCAGCAGGAGGTTGAAGGAGATGGCAAGAGAGTAAGGACGAGAACGGAGGAGAAGGGAGGAGGAGATAGCAGGGTGGTGGGGGCACGCCTAACAGCCAAGAAGCCGTTGCAGAGAGGGAAAAAGAAAAAAATCGTAGAAGGAGGGGGAGAAAGATTGTGAGAGGAGTGGGGGATGAAAAAGGCAGGCGCATGGTATGTGGCATGGGCATAGTATCTCTCCCTCTATCCTTTTTTTTTTTCTTTTTTTTTTTTTCTTTTTTTCTTTTTTCTTTTTTTTCCAAATTGCTCCATCTATTGGTGGGGAGCATCACCTGCTGGAAAGAGGGTCCAGCGTCCCCTTTACAGACTGAGAATACCTTAGAAAAACAATTTTGGGAGTTCTATCTAACTGGAGACGATAAAGAAGAATAGGAGGAGGAAGTGGAAAGAAAAGGTGGGTGTGCGCCACGTGGCACTCACCAAGTCTGACGGTCTGTCTGCCTCTTGGTCTGTCTCTCTCGATTAACTTGAAAAGAAGACGAAGAAGAAGAAGGAGAAGATGAAGAAGAAGAGGGGGAGAAGGGGAAAAAA